GAGGAAAAGGAGGAAAAAAAAATCAACAATTAAAACATCAAAATACAAATAGTATCAACAAGCCAATTGTGTATTACAGTGTGCAGTGTATTCTATGTTTACTTGACTAGCCCCACTGGAAAAACAAAGGTCAAGAGTCGGGATTTTCATTCATATGAAACTCAAGAACCCTGGCTCTCCAATTAAGAGAAGATTGCCTACGAACCCTCTCACAAACATAGAGTCCTTGCCATTTATCAAGCCTGGAGCAAAGATTTATGGTTACAATCTGGAATTAGCAGATGTTCTCTGCTGACGTTGAGGGTAAGGCTGAAGTTTCAACATGTATGCTATTAAAATATATAGATTAATCTATGTATCAACATAATATGTAGATTCACATTTCCATCTTGCATGTTGCAAATCATTTTATACAACACTGTTTTAAGAAATTAGGCAGCAGATTATACACACAGCGATCAATAATTTTGTGGCTCGTTGCTTAAACTTTCAAATATAGGCAATTCTATACCTAAGGTATCAATGATAGTAATGGGTTTCACTGCTGGTCAATGCCAGGGCGCTTGACCCCAAGGGCGATTTAATTGCACAGGGACATTTAAGATTAAAAGCTATTGATAGCTTCCAAAACGTTCCTGTCAACCTGTCAAAAGAATTGCTAAATCCACAGCAGTGCATCTTTGTTTCCCTTTACAGCGGAAGGGTGGGGGAGGAGGTCATGCCCAAATTTAAAATTACCTCCACCGAATCTCATCTTGTACCACTTCCTCAGTACCCCCCATATAAATATATATAGAGAGGCCCTGGAGAGACAGCTGGGGCCTGGGCATGCTCAGTAGACGGCCGCCTTCTGTGCTTGCTGAGAGCTTCCCTTGGCACAGCAGCTAGCACTAGACCTGAAGGCAGCCGGCTTGTGCGCAGCTGCTGCTCCTTGCTGGAAAGCTAATCGCTGCACAGCGCCCGGCTTTGGATCCTCAGCGGCAGCTGAGCAGCCAGAGGTCTCATGTACACCCAGCTGAAGCTTGTGCAGGCTCCGTGCTTGCGGGTCCTCCTCTTCCTCCTCCCACGGGCCGCCCGCAGTCCTTAGAAACAGCAGTTTGGATGATGGAGCAGAAATGACAGGTTCAGGATCCCGATTAACCGGAGGGGCCAGTAAAGGACACAGAGAAGGGGCGTCGCACCCGGAGTAAAGCGACTCTCGTGGAGCGTCGCACCCGGAGTAAAGCAACTCTCCTGGCTCACTGGTGACCATGTTTTCTCATGATCACATTTCCTCACTTCTTGGGACTCCAGGGTCCCTTACTCAGGACTTGCGGAAGATGGTTACAACATTGACTAGGTTGGTGCACTGTTTTCACCACAGGTAAGGAGAGCATCTCTGCACGTTTTTTTTGTTAACTTAGAGGGTTGGCAGGTCTCAGAGGAGTGGTTAAACAGCAGTGTTAATAATTTTTTC